GTAGAGTCCGATCACATGCTTATTAGTGTAGAATCTAAGGAACTATTAATAGTGGAGATAATCCATACATACTTATTAGTAGAATTCATGCCTAGTACAAATGTGTAGTACTGTGTCTTTTAATAGTGTAGAAATGTATACTTAATAGAAACATATTTGCAAGAGTATGTGCAAGGCTATTTATTAATTGATATGTTTTTCTTATTCAGAAATTGGCAAAGAGCCTATCTGTGAGTTGTGGTATCTAGCCTGATGAAGAAGGCTCAACTGGACTACGCCTTACCGCAAGGGGCTTCGTCACAACCTGTACTTACTGCATGGACACGGATGGTTGCACACACTTAAACTCGGTTGGGTGGAAGAGATTCCTCGTTGGCAAGAATCTTCGTGTTGGACAGGCCATCCTAATTACTATCAGGAACACCCACCGCCCAGGCTTGAGGATGATGATCGTCGTTGATATCATCTAGAACTACATATGTGTGTGTGGCTATATCATCTAGAAATACATATGATGATCATCGTCGATATCATCTAGAACTACATATGATGATCGTCGTCGATATCACATAGTACCGCTTGAGGATGCATGTTGACTATATATGAAATTGTTATCTAGTACTCCCTTCGTTCCAAATTACTCGTCGTGGTTTTAGTTCAAATTTGAACTAAAACCACGACGGGTAATTTGGAACGGAGGGAGTACTACCTAGTACCTATAATGCTTTATGAAATTGATATCTAGTAGTACCTAGTATCTGGAAATTGCAGTTTATTGAAACTGAAACGGGGTAGGAAGCGGGGGGTGGGGGGAGGGGATGATGAAAGATATAGCAGTAGCGAGGGGCTAGGAAACCGCTACAGCTAATTAATAGTAGCGCGTTCCAGAAAAGCGCTGCTGATATAGTCAACAGTAGTAGCGCGGGTGTGGACCGCGCTACTACTATCAGTTAGCTGTAGCGCCGTAGCAGTAGCGCGGCTGCCCGTGCTGCTGATAGCCTCAAAACTCGCGCTACTACTAGGGTTTCCCTAGTATTGAGAACATTGTATTGAAGATCAAATAGAGAGAAGAAGCCATCTAGCTACTAACTATGCACCCGTATGTCTGTGGTAAACTACTCACACATCATCGGAAGGGCACCAAGGATGATGTAGATCCCCTCCATGATCGAATCCCCCTCCGACAAAGTCTCGAGAAAGGCCTCCAGATGGGATATCGTGGTTTTGGAACTTGCAGTGACGAAAAAAGTATTTTGTGGACTCCTCTGGTGGTTTCGCGATTTTAGAGAATTAATAGAGCCGGAGTTAGGTCAAATAGAGCCATATGGGCCCCACAAGATACCAAGGCCTGCCCTACCCCCTAGGCGCGCCCTGGTGCCATGTGGGCCACTAATCCATATTATCATCTCCTCCCGAAGCTTCTAGGGTCTCTTATGTCCAGAAAAAAATCAGAAAAAAGTTTCGTGACATTTGGACTTCGTTTGGTACTGATATTCTGAAAAACCAAAAACAAACAAAAAAATAGCAATTGACACTGGGCACTAAGTTAATAGGTTAGTACCAAAAAATGATATATTGTTGGTTGAAAATTTATATAAAACATCCCAGATTGATACTATAATAGCATGGAACAACCAAAGATTATAGATACGTTGGAGACGTATCAACGATCATACTGAATCGACCCAAAACTTGTTTGTTATACTTTGAGATGCAGTCGTCAGAAGTCAATTGTTATAACATGGAGTGCTAACTTGTGATTTAGTTCCTTGGACCATGGGAGTATCACAGTCACTTCTTACAGTACGATGGACTTTGGAGGTTGCTCAAATGTCATCTGTAACTAGGTGATCATAACGACAACTTACACATTCATCGGAAAGTTTGACAAGGTACTCGATAGCTTGAGAGTGGAATTTTCTCCTCCGACGATGGACATATATAATTAGGCCCCTCTAGGTGTGATGGAGTCCATCATCGTCTGGCCATACACATGATCACGGGGATGCCGGAACATGTTAACGAGAAATAAGAACAAAACCGACAATGAGGTGACCAGTATAGTGAGCATGTGAGTGACTCAAGAGGATACCGATACATCTCACCTCGGATTTTGTAAAGTATCATGAAGCAAATGGAATATCACATGATAACCAAAGGTTCACTCAAATGTCATTCGTGTAATCATAGGGATCGATATGGATTTCCACGGTTCCGCTATCAGTCATTGAACCAAGGGGTTTCATTCATGTTTATGATTTACCGATCTGTGAGTGTTAATAGGACAAGAGTATCGAGTATTTGTTTGTGGAATTGGTTCATTAATATTCGAAATAGTTTCGAGAGGAACCAGAAGCATTTCAGGGTCACTAGAAGGGTTTCGGAGTTTATCGAGCAATACCGGGTAATACCGCTAAATAATATATAGGTGGAAAATGTTTTTGGAGATGTTAAAATTAATAATAAAATACTCTAGTAATTGTAGAAGACTTTTATATTTAATTTAATATCAACGTGTCTTAAAAGGCCAAGAGGTGGAAGAGGAATTGGCCACCAAGGCCCAATTGGGGTGGTGCCCTCTTTCCCTTAGTGGGAGGCCGAATTGGGGAGGGGGAACTCCTCCTTTCCTCCGTGGCCAGCGCAAGGGGAGGGGAGTCCTTCCCATTCTCTTGGCAGCTCTCCTCCCCTCCAACCTATATATACTAAAGGTTCAAGGCACTTTTGTACATACCAGTTTTGGAGCCTCTTCTAGTTCATCTAGTTCTAGTTCTAGTTGATCTAATTAGAGCTAGACCTAGTTCCTCTAATCCTCACAATTAGAAGTCGTGTGTTGTTCTAATCTCCTCCCTCTAATTCTCCGGTGATGATTAGCTCTAGATAGTGAAGCGTTGCCGCATCGTGAAGACCGTATGCTTGCAACCAAGTAGAGAGGCAATGATTTTGGTCTTCTGCCCAAGGGATCGATTGAGGGTGGTTCGCGGGATCGTCTTCAATGGTTCGAGGGACTTCAAGTACGATATACACCGACTTGACTAGTTTCGTTGCACTCCGGCGTCGGTGATGATCGTGATCCAAACCGTTTATGCATCTGCATATTGTTCATGTGTATTCGTAGAACGATCTTTTTCCTACTACGTTTCCCAATAGTAGGGGCCATACTCCGCCAGTTGCGCACCGCTCGGCGGTGCATGATTCACTTGGTTGATGCAACCGGACCATCGGTTGCATTGGTCATGAATGGTGCCCCAACAATGCCCAAGAAAACCTTGCGTACAACTTGATCGCACGTCCACAGAGTTGTTGTAGTGCTTGGTAGTTCTCTCCCAAAACATAGTCTTGGTGTGATCCATTCTAACCATTGCATCCATGGAGATCGCGCACCAAGAATTGCAAAGAGCAATATCCTTGTTTTGGTTGTAGTTGGTGGTGCGTGACCTTAACACATGCGTTCTTGCTTCCGTCATCTCCACAACCTCCTCTTCCTTGGCCATCTCCTCATCGACCACCACCTCCTCGGCCTACCGCTCTTCCTCGGCCTCCTACTCCTCCTCGGCCTCCTCATGCTCCATGCCTTGGGCCGCCTCTGAATGATGCCAAAAGGATTCGTAGTTGAGCTCATCAAGTCCAATGGTAGCAGAGGACTCGAAAGACACGAGGACAACCGTGTCCATCTTCGCACTATGACAACAAAGCAAACAAACTACATCACCATCAGCCACCAACAAGACGTGAGGTTTTTCTTTACCTTGTAGGCATTTCATTGAGCACTTGGTGGCTGCGATGCTTGTTGCCGCTCGCGCCGGAACAGTTGCCGTAGGGGGCACCGACCTTGGACGAAGTGCCGATGTGGCCTTCTTCATCTTCTTCTTCGCGGCCTCCTCTGCTGTCGTCGGCTTTCGAGCTTGTTTGGCTCCGACGGGAGCGGCGGGAGGGCGGCCGACAGTTGCCGGAGAGGCGGTGGCCACCGCTGAGGCCATTGGCGCTGTTGAGGAGGAGCGTGGACCCGATCATTTTTTCATCCCCGCATTATTCTTTGGCACGGGTGTCGTTGCGTGGGTGATTCTGGTGGTGAAAAGCCGGCTGTGGTGGCCGACGGGGTGAGGTAAGGGCCCGGGCTATCCATTCTGGCCGGAGGGACGGTCATCGGTGGCGGCGATAGGGCGTGGTGGCTGCAGCGGCAGGAGACAGGGTGGCGAGGGCGTGGGAGAAAGAGATGCGCCACTACTACTCGGCCGCGGCGAGAGTGAGCATATTGGGGGAGATTTGGGGGGATACTGGGAGATGGAGGATAATTTTTACTCCACTGTATCGCTTAGGTGATCGGCTAAGTGCGTCGTAAGGGAGGATTAGGGATCGGTTAGAAATGCCCGTATTGCTCTAGGGCAATACTGCTCTACTACTACGTAGTGCACTAGAAAGTAGATATCCTTTGATAAAATCTTAGGGTGCGTGTACAGCAGCCAGTTTTGGAATACTGCCAGTTCGTATACATCAAGTAGTTTTTGAATACTGTTATTGGTTTGTGGACGCTTCTAAACAAGTTGGGTTGGGCCAGTGCATCTCTCTCGTACCAGTACACCAGTTGTAGATCACACCTGAAAAAGGTACAAATCATGAGATCTACTCACTCTACCCACCCCTTCACCACCTCGCCTCGGCTCTATCCATCCATCCAGCCAGCGAGCGACTGACCCGCGCGTCCAGCTCCAGCCCCCCCTCCCTCCCTCCCTCTACTTCTTTGTCCTGCTCTGCTGTAGAGCACT